GATTCTGGAGACAGACCTTAGTTTCAGTAGTCATGTCAAAGCTGTAACTAAATCAGCATACTATCTGTTGTGATTCTTTTTTTTATTATGTAAAGCACTTTGAATTACCATTGTGTATGAAATGTGCTATATAAGTAAACTTGCCTTGCCTTAACAGAACACGCTGCCTAAATAAATCATGTCTGCTGATTTTAATCACACTCTGACTCAATTTAATAATATTGGCTATGGGAGTTGGAAAAGAATGATTTTAATTATCAGGGTGTAAACTCATGTCAGTGGCTGCCATGATCTTTCTTCAAGCTTCACTCCCACATCTCTTTTACAGCTTTTCTCATACAGGAAAATAGACTAAAAATATGTATGACTTAAGCACTACACAATTTATTTTCTATTATTGCTGTGTGGATTCTATAATATTCTATTATATGCTGTTTGGTCGTTGACCTACAATGACCAAATTTAAAATGCAACGTAATTTAGTGTGTTAAATATAGGTTAAAAAAAAAAAAAAGTAAATACATAGCTTAATCACTTCATGCTGTATCACTTTTTATGCATTATTAAAGTTAGTATTAAAGTTATTTTAATACTACGCTAAAAATAATTTTAAATGCATTAAGGATAAAATTATCTCACCAAGGAGAGTTCAAACAAACATGTTTAATTTATTAATTCTATTAAAGTGTTACTAAACAGACACCTTCTCATCACTAAATGTCACTAATTTTAAAATAAAATATATGCAAGAAAACAGTATTTATATAGTAGTTTATTGAACAAGCAGCACACTCACAAACAAGGTATCTAATTCCCTTGACACTGTATAAAATTACTTTAGATAAATGCAAAATACAAAAATGACTTTAGATAAATGCATCTAGTCTACAAAAAGCAAAAATAACAAATGCTCAGAATCGTTAATGACTCATTTACAAACACATTTTATGCACACCAGTAACCTTGGTCTTTGTTGCTATTGACAGAAATGAGAAAATAAACATATGAAAATAGCTCCTTGACGGCACTGGAATTGCATTAACAAAAGTTGTTTTAAAAATACAATTTTAATACCACAATCTCAAAAAGCACTTTTATTCTTATGCTGCACTGGTTAACAAAAGTTAACAACAACAACAACAACAAAAAAGTGTTAGCAAATGCACAAGTCACAAAAAGTAACCCTAATTATTAATCTAATATTTTGCATGTTGATGCTAGTGTTTCCGTTTCAGCAGCTCTTCCAATAGCATTGAGCTTATTTGTAACAAAGATATATTTCTCTCTAAAAAAAAAAAAAGAGTTTCATTCATTTACCAGTTCTGATTTCTGCATTTGTTAGTCATTGTGCCATCAAAATACAATCAATAAGTGCATTTCTCCTTGCGTGAATTTGTTTCTCCATTAGCTTATTATAGACATATCTGGAAAAAGTAATTTTTGGGCTCCTCAATAATCAAAAGTAGCCAAGGTTAAGTAAACGATTGCTACAAAAAAATGTCTTTAATTTGATTACTACTTGTGTAAATATTTGTGCTTGGTTCACTAGTAGTGAATTAATACAGGTCAAAAAACAGCAGCCTGTTATGGCATTAAACAAGCATCAAGAATGAGTGTAAGGCCACACTGGGCATGTTTTAGTGTTAGCAAAGGCAGAAATGTCACAAGGTCGTCAAACCTAACTATGTCATTAGGCAGACAGTTGTGCAAGAGGCATTTCCTTAATCACATTGTTGATCAGTTGACAAAGTGACGCTAGAACCTGATCTCACCATACCTCATAATTCTTATCAATTTGTGGGCAAACTCAAAAAAGTGTTAGCAAATGCACAAGTCACAAAAAGTAACCCTAATTATTAATCTAATATTTTGCATGTTGATGCTAGTGTTTCCGTTTCAGCAGCTCTTCCAAAAGCATTGAGCTTATTTGTAACAAAGATATATTTCTCTCTAAAAAAAAAAAAAAGAGTTTCATTCATTTACCAGTTCTGATTTCTGCATTTGTTAGTCATTGTGCCATCAAAATACAATCAATAAGTGCATTTCTCCTTGCGTGAATTTGTTTCTCCATTAGCTTATTATAGACATATCTGGAAAAAGTAATTTTTGGGCTCCTCAATAATCAAAAGTAGCCAAGGTTAAGTAAACGATTGCTACAAAAAAATGTCTTTAATTTGACTACTACTTGTGTAAATATTTGTGCTTGGTTCACTAGTAGTGAATTAATACAGGTCAAAAAACAGCAGCCTGTTATGGCATTAAACAAGCATCAAGAATGAGTGTAAGGCCACACTGGGCATGTTTTAGTGTTAGCAAAGGCAGAAATGTCACAAGGTCGTCAAACCTAACTATGTCATTAGGCAGACAGTTGTGCAAGAGGCATTTCCTTAATCACATTGTTGATCAGTTGACAAAGTGACGCTAGAACCTGATCTCACCATACCTCATAATTCTTATCAATTTGTGGGCAAACTGCCTAATCAAAAGATCCTGATCAACTTTAAAGTACTTATTTATTCATGCCTTTTCATGATGTGTGACTCAAAAGTCACATACATGTCCAAATATTCTCCAAAAATTGGATTTCTCAATAATGGGTGAATCTCACAAAAAAAAAAACTAATTACACACATTTCCTCTCAAATTCCCATTACTGTTGTTTGTCCACTTTACTTTTGAGTACTTTTAGTACTTATTTATTCATGCCTTTTCATGATGTGTGACTCAAAAGTCACATACATGTCCAAATATTCTCCAAAAATTGGATTTCTCAATAATGGGTGAATCTCACAAAAAAAAAAAACTAATTACACACATTTCCTCTCAAATTCCCATTACTGTTGTTTGTCCACTTTACTTTTGAGTACTTTTAAATGTAGGTGAGAATTACTCTCTTTTGATTCTCACTACTGTAATACAATCATTTTGTACTGTAAAAACAAACCCTGATATGCAGCAGGTATAATAGAATGTGTAGATACTTTCCTATAATGTAAAACATAAATAATGTTCAAATAACTATGTAATTTTAGATTTTAAAAGAACAGTTCACCCAAAAATGTACTCACCCTCAGGCCATCCAAGATGAAGATGAGTTTGTTTCATTATCAAAACAGATTTGGAGAAATTCAGCATTATATCACTTGCTCACCAATGGATCCTCTGCAGTGAATGGGTGCCGTCAGAATGAGAGTCCAAACAGCTGATAAAAACATCACAATAATCGTGTGAATTACTTGTGGATTATTGTGATGTTTTTATCAGCTGTTTGGGCTCTCAATCTGATGGCACCCATTCACTGTAGAGGATCCATTAGTGATGTAATGCCAAATTTCTCCAAATATGTTCTAATGAAGAAACAAACGTATCTACATCTTAGATATCTACACCCTATGGAAGCCCGTTTCCGCCACTGAATAAAAAATACAAAATAAAAAAGGTAATTGCGACTTCTCACAATTCTGACTTTTTTTCTCATAATTGCGTGATATAAACTCACAATTCAGACTTTTTTTCTCAGAATTGCGTGATATAAACTCGCAATTGCGAGACAAAGTCGCAATTCTGAGAAATAAAGTCAGAACTGTGAGATATAAACTCTCGCCACTCTGCGAAAGAATCAGTCTGCGAAAAAATTGGACTTTAACTCGCAATGAGGATCCATTAGTGATGTAATGCCAAATTTCTCCAAATATGTTCTAATGAAGAAACAAACTTATCTACATCTTAGATATCTACACCCTATGGAAGCCCGTTTCCGCCACTGAATAAAAAAATACAAAATAAAAAAAGGTAATTGCGACTTCTCACAATTCTGACTTTTTTTCTCATAATTGCGTGATATAAACTCACAATTCAGACTTTTTTTCTCAGAATTGCGTGATATAAACTCGCAATTGCGAGAAAGTCGCAATTCTGAGAAATAAAGTCAGAACTGTGAGATATAAACTCTCGCCACTCTGCGAAAGAATCAGTCTGCGAAAAAATTGGACTTTAACTCGCAATTGCGAGACAAAGTCGCAATTCTGAGAAATAAAGTCAGAACTGTGAGATATAAACTCTCGCCACTCTGCGAAAGAATCAGTCTGCGAAAAAATTGGACTTTAACTCGCAATTGCGAGACAAAGTCGCAATTCTGAGAAATAAAGTCAGAACTGTGAGATATAAACTCTCGCCACTCTGCGAAAGAATCAGTCTGCGAAAAAATTGGACTTTAACTCGCAATCGCGAATTTATATTACGCAATTCTGAGAAATAAACTCCCAATTGCGAGAAGAAAAAAAAAGTCAGTTCTGACTTTATAACTGCAAATTGTGAGTTTATACCACGCAATTTTGACTTTATAACTTGCAATAGCGAGTTTACATCTCACAATTCTGTGAAAAAAGTCAAATTGAAAAAAAATCTAAAGAATTGTGAGATAAAAAGTCACAATAACCTTTTTTTTTTCAGTGGGAGAAACGTGCTTCCATAACACCCTCATCTTAGAGGGGGAGGAAATTTTAATCAAATTTACATTACAACAGAATTTCGTTTTGAGGGTGAAATGTGAGCTGCATATGTTCTTGAGAGACTCACACAACTAGGTGTAGATCACACATAAGAGTACGACTCCGGTATTTGCGAGAAATGTTTGAAATGCTGATTCAAAAGTGATCCAAATATTTACTGCCAGTAAGTGCTTTTCGAAGTGCAATGTTTCAATGACACCAAAAGTTGCTACAACTGCGAATTTATATTACGCAATTCTGAGAAATAAACAAAAAGTCAGTTCTGACTTTATAACTGCAAATTGTGAGTTTACATCTCACAATTCTGTGAAAAAAGTCAAATTGAAAAAAAATCTAAAGAATTGTGAGATAAAAAGTCAGAATTGTGAGTTTATATCACGCAATTCTGAAAAAAAAAAGTCAGAATTGTGAGTTTATCTCTCACAATTCTGTGAAAAAAAATCTAATTGGAAAAAAAAAATCAAAAGAATTGTGAGATAAAAAGTCACAATAACCTTTTTTTTTTTCAGTGGCAGAAACGTGCTTCCATAACACCCTCATCTTAGAGGGTGAGGAAATTTTAATCAAATTTACATTACAACAGAATTTCGTTTTGAGGGTGAAATGTGAGCTGCATATGTTCTTGAGAGACTCACACAACTAGGTGTAAATGTGATTTGAAAAGATCACACATAAGAGTACGACTCCGGTATTTGCGAGAAATGTTTGAAATGCTGATTCAAAAGTGATCCAAATATTTACTGCCAGTAAGTGCTTTTCGAAGTGCAATGTTTCAATGACACCAAAAGTTGCTACAACAATAAAATGCATTTTGCTTGACCTCAAACAGGGTTACTTAAGAAAAAAAAAAAACTGATTCTGACAATACTGGAAGACGTCTGTGTGCAATACTCAAAGAAATAATGATTTTTGCAGAACATCCTGCGTTATCATTACCCCTGAAATGAAGAAATAAATCTTCTACATCTAATTCAATTGAGAAAAATGTGCTTGAAATAATCAAGCATTAAACATGCCGCAAAAATGTCCTTTCGAATCATGTAAATACTCGGATTCTCAGCAATGGCATATAATCAGCACTGCCGTTTCTGCAAAAGCAAAACGCCGCAGTTTTCTGAGTTTAGGCCTGTTTTAAGCCTAAGCTCTCAAATGCTTTGACTGAAGCACCTCTGGTTATGCCAAGACAGTCTTGTGGAGTAATACTGTGTGTTAGTGGCTCAAATAAGATCTACCATCCACCGTTAAGGACTTTTTCTACCCTTTCCAAGCTGACGATGCATTCAACTGGACATATCCTTCCTCTGAGCTTGAAGCATCTCGGTCACGCTCACTATATCTTCTTCCGGCACCTGAGACAAAAAAAGATGACACAAAAACACAAGGATGATTACGTCCCATCCAAATATGCAATATTTTTCAGAGATGTCACATGCTGTCAGCTGAACAACAACACACTGGTATGAAGAGTTTTGTAGGATGGACGTAAACAGAGATGCATCATCTCATACTCACATGGATCAGCTCAGACCGATAACGGTTCATGGATTCATGCAGAGACGGATGCATGCATGGATGTGCAGAGGTATTTATGGAGAGACACAAAGATGCATGCACGGAGCTACTACATATTTACATGTAGTAGCTACAAGATTACAAAATAATCCTTCCAAAACAGTATTTCTAAAAAGTATTTTAACATGTAAAATGTCGACACAAATGTCTTAAACACAATTTTGGCAGCATGACCCTTAGAAAATATATAAATAATACAAATGAATAATATTATGAATATTTAATTAATATAAAAATGTTATTATAATTATTAGTAGCATTATTAGTATTAATATTATTACAAAAACAAATGCATTTACATAAAACAACACAAATTAATAATAAGTCAACAAAATGTAATAATATTTATTATTATTATTATAAATACAAATATTTAAATACAAATATTTTTAAACAATTTAAATAATAATACAGCTATTTTGTAAGTATAAGTATTTGTGACACAACAGACAAAGAGTAGGGGTAGACAAAAGCTAGATAAACAGCTATAACGATGAAGGTCATGAGAAAGTAGCACAAGTTGGAATTCCAACAGGTATGAAGCATTCTTCGTGCTTCCTCTTTTACAGTAAAGTCATGTGAAGGCACGATTCTGGAGGTGGGGACTTTACTGGCTTCCACTGAAGTACTGCATCATTGCTATGCTCTATATATAGCAATTCTGCATATGGTTTATTCAAGTTTGTGTGGAAAAACGTCCTAAAACACTGAAGACTGAATCACGTCTCTCTGATTTCGAATGAATTGTGAAGGATGCTTCTTTTCTGGGGCATCTTGTGTGTCAAAAAACAAACAAACAAACAAAAAAAAACATGCTACTGTAAGGCAGGGGTTCCAAAACTATGAAAAAATATGCTGATATTTTAATAATTTGAACATTTCCAGCTTTACGGATCTCTGATGTCGGTTAACGGTCACATGACCTACAAATAAGCAGATACAATATCTAATAAGCGTTTAATTTTGTTTGCTTTTATTTTAAAATTAGGTATTGCCAGTGCAGGGTAGTAACTGATTACATGTAACCCAGATTTCACGATCAAATTCCAAAAATTAAGTACTTGTTATTAGATTACATTACTTTTTAAAATGCTTATAATTAATTTGCAGTTACTTTTTAATGGATTACATGATTACATATTATGCAAACATTATTTTGACCTAAAATGTTAACGGTCACATGACCTACAAATAAGCAGATACAATATCTAATATTTAATCTAATAAGGGTTTCATTCTGTTTGCTTTTATTTTAAAATTAGGTATTGCTAGTGCAGGGTAGTCACCTAAAAGGTTAACGGTCACATGACCTACAAAATAAGCAGATAAAATGTTTTCTTTTAAGTTAATATTTCAATAATTTAACACATTCGTGTATATTCAACTTCTCTAATGTCAGTTAGTCTTGCGTAGCCAGACCTTCAGACTGACGGGTGAAGGTCTGGAATCCATGGCAGCTTTCATTGGCCAAGGCCCGCCCATGAAGCCGTTTGACCGACATGTCAAACAACCAATCACAGTTCGTTTCGTTCGTCGTCACGTTTCGGGGCGTGGAAATGTCACCACAATAACAGACCGGTGTGTAAAACTCTCGGACGTATTTTAAAGATTCTACGCCGCGAACTTTAAATATTTCACATACTTTTGAAAATCCAGCATTTAGTTGATCCTGATAAGCGCTCGTCGTCACAGTTGCAAACACCGACGGCTTTCTTCTTTCGTGAGGGGGTTTGGCGTCACGGCATCTTTGTTTCCAGGCGGAACGTTAAAGAACGCGACACACACGTCTACCGGAAATCCTGTAGAATTCAACCAATCCGACGACGACTTTGAAACTCCTGAAGTGTTTCCACTTTTGTGTGCCGTATGCATCAGACGTTTAGCCAACGGTCCGTGGGCGTGACGTCTGAGGCCGAGACTAAATGTCAGTTAATAATCACAATTTTTCACAACATTTTTTTGCTTTTATTTTAAACGTTTTTTTTTTTATGTTAACACGTTTATGATTTACTGAATTCGCTTTTGATCAACTACCCCCTGCAGTTTTTTAACAAATCCCAGACTGACCTTTAATGAACTTCAGAATACATTTTAGGATAAAATACATACTTTCTATTTTTATATCAACATGGTACAAAACATTCCTATTCAAAACTATGTGGTAAATACGTTTGGTCAAAAGTAATCCGAATACATTATCTAAAAGCTGATAGATTAGTTTACTAACTACAATTTTTACATCAATAGTGGACTACAATTTGTAAGTAATCTACCCAGCACTGTGTATACATAAGCCTATATAGCGCTGCACGACTTGGCCAAAAAATATTGCGCTTATTTTGTCATATGTTGTGATTGCGATTTGAACTGCGATATACTACTAATCTACAAAAATATTTCCATGCACAACGTTGTGATTCACCAATCAGAAGCAAGTATTCCAGAGAGACTTGTAAGACAGCACATTTGAATATTAAATGATAACGATGATCTAATGAGGAGTAAGAACAACTTAACTTACTCAATAGGGAACCAAACCGTTTCTGCTAAAATACTTGACGGTTTCCAGGAAAAAAGGAAAGGAATAGGAAGCAAGGACAACCAGATGATCTGATTTCACATGACATCATGGAAATAAACAGAGTGTTGCGAAAATCGTCCAATCAGATCATATTCTGGAATTCTTCTGTTTCCTGGTTACCAGGCAACCATTTGCCCATCTATCCTCATGTTGCTCAGTGTCACACAAATATCACAAATGATTCAAATGTACTAAATATAAATGCGGAAGACTAGACACAACCTCTACAGACTGAATGTCAGCAGATCATTATCGCAAAATAAACGGGACTTTTATTACCTTGAATCTGTGTACTCACTGCATTTTATGTGGTTTTTGCAGTACCCTGTCAACTACTACACAGAGCTAAAATGTTATGTGTGTAAAAAAAAGGAGGAGCAAAATGACTCACCAGAGCATGATCAAAGCTGAAGGTGCTAATGTAATACGCTGATATATCACTGTCTGCAAGAGGCTGAGAGATCTGAGCGACTATCCCACATTCATCTGGAAAAAAAAACAAGACCGAGGAAGTGAGATAACGGCAAATAAGTGGGAGAGATGTGACTTTCTGATTTAATCTGATGTGTTCGTTCACTCATCTATCACTCAGCAGAACAGATTTCACTGTTGTATGGACTAATGATTGGATAAGACAGAAAACCATTAAAGGAGCTATTTATATATACACAATACATATGCATCCTAACTGCAACAGAAGCTCATAAGTGACTGATTTTGAATGCTATACATAGTCAGCAGCTATGTGACAAACCCAAAAAAAATGTACATGGGAGACTCAAGTAGGCCAGGAATTCCCAAACTTTTTTGTCAGCCGAACCTCTTTGAAGTAAACTATTTACTTGACGTCTCCCTTGAATCTCAAGTTATTATTTCAATAATTTATCAACACATTTGCATGTTCATGGTACTCTAATGTTGGTTAACGGTCACATGGTAAGCATGTAAACAAATAAAACATTGAATCTTTTAGAGGAAGTGAGATAACGGCAAATAAGTGGGAGAGATGTGACTTTCTGATTTAATCTGATGTGTTCGTTCACTCATCTATCACTCAGCAGAACAGATTTCACTGTTGTATGGACTAGTGATTGGATAAGACAGAAAACCATTAAAGGAGCTATTTATATATACACAATACATATGCATCCTAACTGCAACAGAAGCTCATAAGTGACTGATTTTGAATGCTATACATAGTCAGCAGCTATGTGACAAACCCAAAAAAAATGTACATGGGAGACTCAAGTAGGCCAGGAATTCCCAAACTTTTTTGTCAGCCGAACCTCTTTGAAGTAAACTATTTACTTGACGTCTCCCTTGAATCTCAAGTTATTATTTCAATAATTTATCAACACATTTGCATGTTCATGGTACTCTAATGTTGGTTAACGGTCACATGGTAAGCATGTAAACAAATAAAACATTGAATCTTTTTTAGTAAGCTTCTTCGTGACTCTAAAAATAATAGAAGTACATAAATCACACACAAATATTGGTTATTCAATCATTTTATTTAAATTAAATGACCTTTTATTTTCATATAAAAAATTATTTTAATTATTAGAATTAAATTATTAGAATAAGGACCAAATTACATTAAAATAATACATTAAATATAAGATAATATGAATATTTAAATATTTAAAGCACAGTAACATTTATTAATTAGGGTTAAGTTTAGGGCTTGGTTTATATTTGTAATTGTGCATAATTTACTGTTATTAACATGCAAGTACATGTAATCCTGTAACCTTAAAAGATCAAATTTTTTATTGATACCTTGTAACGCTGAACGAATTTGCAAGTATATTTATAATCTTTTTTTTTTATTCCTTTTACTGAGCTCGCTGCAATACATTCTGGCATGGCTAAATGATACATGCTGCATTCAAATGACCAAAAGAAGGTGAATGAAGCTCACCGAAACCGAGCGGCTGCCCTCCTATTCTTACCATCCTCCAGAGCTCACCAGAGGAGCTGGTGAACAGAAGATCAGCGGGGAATCTGACACACACACACACACACACACCATATTTAAATCTGCAATTTGCAAAGCTTTGATATGATGACCTGTCCACTACTCTGTGAGGGTCTTACTGTCTCTGTGCTTCCGTGTCCATCACCAAAGAGATGTATCCATCAATCAGAGAAAAGGAGAAGAACTTGATACATTCCATGTCCTGATCAACACTGGCACCCTCTTTAGGACTGCAGGAGAAAACAAACACAATTGTTACAATTGAACATGCATAGGGAAATAACTGCACACCAAAAAAATATTTTAATTGCAATTTATAAGAGACGCTCTTAATTAGAATGAACAGTTTTACCTCTTATTTCTTCCTACCGAGTAAACAAATTGTATAAAAAAGCGATATAGTTCACCCCATCTTTCCCCTACAGTGTAGTGTGTGATAAACTGTGATCTGGTTCAAGATGCCTCTTAGTGGCAGTGAAACATTAAAACAGTATTGTTCAGCTAAGGGTGTTGCTGAAGTGGAAATACAAAAGTCAAAACAAAACTGAGATGCAGACAGCATCACTGCACGAGTTTGCAGCAGCAGCAGCTTTCATACCTGTTAGAGTAAAACAGAACGTCTATGAGGGTGGTGGCGATCGCTGGCAGTGTGTCCGGATCCAAGCTCATTACACAAAATTGATTCTCCGGAATCAGCACCGGATGAACTGTTGCATGTGGACCTGAACACACACACACACACACACACACACGCATTAATACTTTAAAATGGGAAAAACAATACTATTACTTGGACTACTACTACTTGTTTCGTGCATGAGCTGGTATTGAATTTAATAATGTGTCGATGCAAAACACTGGAAAAATAATCAATTATAACACACTACAAAGTGTTAATACAATCAGATAGCCTAGTAGCGTATTCATAGTATAAAGGACTATTCTTTAAAAAAAATATTTTTAAATTATTTCACATATTATGGCCTTTTCAAAAAGCCATTACATTAGTTGTGGGTCAGTATTTATTTCATTTTTTTTTAAGAATTAACACTTATTCAGCAAGGATACATTAAACTGATCAAAAGTGACATCTTATATTGTTGCAAAAAAATTCTGTTTCAAATAAATGCTGTTCATCTATGAACCTTCTATTCATTAAAGAATCCTGGGAAAAAATGTCATGGCTTTCAACACTGATAAGAAGAAGAAGAAGAAGAAGAGTTTCTTGAGCAGCAAATCATCATATTAGAATGATTTCTGAAGGATCATGTGAATCTGAAGATTGAGTAATGATGCTGAAAATTCAGATTTGATCACAGAAATAAATACATTTCAAAATATATTCAAATAGAAAATGGCTATTTGAAATTGCAATAATATAACACAACATTGCTCTTTTTACTGTATTTTTATTAAATATATGCAGCCTTGGAGAGACTTCATACCAACCCCAAAAATGTTTTGGTAGTGTATAGGCCTATGCCTATCGTACACATAGAGGGTCTCACCCTCTCTGCCGTTTCGCTGAAGGCCGTTGCAGGCGTCCTGACTGTGGACAGGCACTGACTCTCCTCCCTCCTCTCTGAAAATATTAAACTCCTCCAACAGAGTCTCCACCACCACCGACAGGTCCTTCTCTCGCACCTACAACACAAACATCCCATTAGTATGTTAATAACATACAGTTTTATACAAATCACCAAACAGGCACTCCCTGAGGTGGTCATGTTTGTTCTGTACTTTACTTTTATTTGGTTACTGCATTTTTTTTTATTTTTGTTAGCAGCACTTGTTACCAAACAACAACACCACCACAAATGCAAATATATTAATCAAGCAGTTATGAATGTTTTTTGTTGCTGTTGTAGCACCCCCTGTGGGTGACTATTTGGTGTGGATTCCTTGCACAAAATTCAAGAAATACTTTGCATTCAAGACATATTATTCAATTAGTCAGTATTAGGCCACAGTTTCATTGCACACTTTAACCGGTTATTTAATCAGATATTTGTACAAACAAAACTTCATGCAAATTGGACAAGCAGCCTAGAAAGACAAAATAAAAGTAAGTTTTTAAACAAGGATAAAATATAGATTCTGTCCCACACAGCTCTATAGGTATTAGCAAAACTGTAAATTAGCTTATTACAAAAGCATCACTGCTCTTGAAAATATAATGCACAAAGGCCAATCAACATTACACAACTTTCATTACACATCTACCAACTTATTAAAACAAAAGGGTCATGAAAATGTAAAACATTTACAACAGGCAGGTGTGTTTGATTTTAGCGCATGTTCATGGTGCCGTTTCCTTAATACTTTATTTATTAACACTGTTCTGTGTTTCTGGGTTCAGCCAAATGTCCGCCAGCTCCACATCTGTTTGTTGCTTTCTTTGCTTAGTTAAACACGACACAAAACTAGTTTTAACAAAAAAATTTAATAAAAATAACATAATATTAAGAAAAGAATACTGCTGCATTTATGTCATATCAGAATTACCATAAATATCAATTTCTCACAAAAAAAAAAGCTGTTCATGCTTTCAACAAACTCATACATTTTATGAAAGCTCCAACTTCTCCCGCTTGACTATCATTATTCAGGATCTAATTACATCAAATATTATGGTTACTCATTACAGTGTTATTTTAGTATCAATGATATACTATCAAACTTTTCAATTTGATTTTTAATATTTTCCGTTTTCAATTTTCAATTTTAATAATTTTTTTGTTACATGATTTTGTCATTTTATTGTTTTTTGTATTATATTGCAGCTAACATTTATTTTAAGTCGTGGCTTCTTTTTTTTAGCTTTAGTTATCTATAGCAACCCTAATTCACTGACACAATACTTCCAGCATTCAGGGTTGCCAGGTTTTCACAACAAAATCTGCCCAATTGCTACTCAAAACTAGCCCAATCTCATTTCGAGGGGGTCATTTGAAGCGACCCCAGTAATACACGTTACTGGGGTCGCTTCAACCCATGGCAATGGTGTTAAAGTAGCCCAATTCTGCGAGAAAACCGCCAGCATTCGCCGCAGTTTACACACATCAAGTATTTCTAGAAATTTTGCTGAAGAAATGTAGCTTAAATTAGATATGTGTGTGTGTCAGTGATCACAGAAACACAGCAGACTCGCTTACCAGAATAAAGTCGGTTTGATAGGTGGAGAGCATGAAGACGGACACATGTTGCTCGGCCAATGGAGCGATAACAGATTTGGCGATCTTGGTGACGCCCACGGCTTGTGAGCTGCTGGAGGCGTTGCCATTGGAGACGACATTGAGCGGGAGCCAAGTGGAGCCCTCCACCTGTAAGTGCTCAGACGGCTGGAGCTCTGGAGGAAGAGAATGTGATAGAGGACATACAGGAGACTGTATCAATATAATGTACCCGTTTTAAAACTGTTGTTTTATTTCCTTCGTCAACTGAGAAACTCATCCTGCACTGTTTGTTCTACAGACTTGAACTGCTTGTTGGGGAGAGGTGACCGTGAGCCATTGCTTTTCTAAGTGATCAAACTTGTGGTTTTTACCTGGTAGTTCATAATACCTTGCACTGAAAGAGGAGCTACCATTCAGTTTGAGAAAAAAATTATACATTTATTCAGAAAGGATGTATTATTTTATCAAAATTGACAGTAGAGACATTTGTGACCCTGGACCACAAAACCAGTCATAGGGGTCCATTTTTAGAAATATGAATAAATAAGCTTTCCATTGATGTATGGTTTGTTAGGATTGGACAATATTTGATTGAGATGCAATTATTTGAAAATCTGAGGGCGCAAAAAAAAAATCGGAATATTGAGAAAATCGCCTTTAAAGGGGTCATATGATGTTGCTAAAAAGAACATTATTTTTGTGTATTTGGTGTAATGAAATGTGTTTATGCGGTTTAAGGTTAAAAAAACACATTATTTTCCACATACTGTACATTATAATGCGTCGATTTTTACAAAGCTCATCGGTCTGAAAAGCGAGGTGTGCTGTGATTAGCCAGCTATCCAGTGCGTTGTGATTGGCCGAATACCTCAAGCGTGTGACGGAAATGTTTCGCCCCTTACCATACTGTGATGCCGTGTCCTGGCCCGGAGCGACGAGACAAAAACATTAAAACCCATTATAAACGAGGAATTTGTTGCATCCAGAGTGGACATAATTACGGATTATAATGGCTTGTACTGTCTTTATACGCGTTGCGTTGCATCGCGCCGCGTAAACATAAAACCATGTCAGCATTTGTGATTGGAGAAATGACAAACAACAAGCGCTACTCTACACTGCTCAAAACTCGCGTTAGAATCGTCAGTGGCAAATTCTTTAAATATGAAAACGTACTTACAGACTGTGAGTCAGAACAGCCGGCATTGTAGTCTACCAGGATCAGGAAACAGTCCTCCATAAAATGCGCTGCACACATCTGAATATTTTGGTTGAACGGTTCTGGAACAGTGTTGTAAATACAACTAAACCACTGATCTCTAGTTGTGTCCTCTTTTGGAAGGCCAAACAAAAGTATTTTCGCTTTCACAACGAAACACACAGCGTCTTCAGCAGTGGCAGCAACAATAAAGTTACGCCTTCTTTCTTCGCGTGAACATTTGGGCGGCGTTATGCAAATCTTCCCACATCATGACGTAGACATGTGGGGGCGTGTTTAAACGAGGCGTTTTAGGAGGACGTGGACGAGTCTTAACTTTTATAAAGAATATCTCTTTGGGTTTGAGACTTTAGTTTGTGCAACTTTAGGGATCTCATCTATTCACGAACAGCTTGTAACACTCCAAAGAGAAAGGAAAACTTGAAATCGCATCATATGACCCCTTTAAAGTGGTCCGAATGAAGTTTTTAGCAATACATATTACTAATCAAAAATAATGTTTTAATATATCTACAGTAGAAAATTTACAAAATATCTTCATGGAACATGATCTTTACTTAATATCCTAATGATTTTTGGCATAAAAGAAAAATCGATAATTTTGACCCATACAATGTATTTTTAGCGATTGCTACAAATATACCCCAGCGACTTAAGACCAGGTTCACATTTATAGTGTTTCCAAAAAAAGTATGTTTTAAATAAATGATGTTCTTTCAAACTTTCTAATTACCAAAGGGATCCTGAAAAGGATCAGTTTCCACAAAAAGATTAACAGTTTTCAACACTGACAATAAGAAATATTTTTTAAAAGCAGCAAATTAGAATGTTAGAATGATTTCTGAACGATCATGTGACACTGAAGAGTAATGATGCTGAAAATTCAGCTTTGACATAACAGGAATAAATTACATTTTAAAATATATTCAAATAGAAAACAGTTGTTTGAAATTGTAACAATATTTCACAATATTTTTGATCAACTAAATGCAGTCAAGACACTTTTTTCAAAAACTGACCCCAAACTTTTGAACTGTTTTGCACAAGCAAAGAGCAGTCATTTTCTTCACCTAATGCAAAAATATACGCTATGCAACAAAACACCTATTAGATTTATATATACTTTATATATACTTAACCACAGAGCAAAACAGCAAGTTGTCTTTAAAAGCTGATTCTGCTAACACTAACAAATCCGGAGTCTATAATTATTCACAGAATTACAGCAGGAAGTTGCAAAGTCTTTGTAGGCGGGCTTGTCACTTTGAGAGTATAAGAGTTTAGAAGTTAACAGGGTCATTCTATAACCCATTAACACCTTGTGAAGATGAACACGGCAAATGAAACTAGCACTGAAAAAACTCAAATCATACATTTTGGACATGTACACCTCTTAAAATGAGACTAAACATCTTGTTGTTTTCATATCAGAACACCTGCAAACGTACACGGTATCCAAAATGTTGTTTCTAGATAGCGGTTTTGACCTTCCTGTGGATTGACAGGTCTACGTCACTGTGTGGGAAGATTTGCATAACACCTCCCAAATGTTCCCGCAAAGAAGGAAGGCGTAACTTTTATTCTCGCTGTAGTATTGTTGCCGCCGCCATGTCGTGAAGGCGCTGTGTTTCGTTGTGAAAGCGAAACTACTTTGTTTGGCCTTCCAAAAGAGGACGATATCTGCATCGTCATGCCTGGAGCTGATCCGTGCTGGTCGCTGAGGAAATACATCAACTTCGCGCTGTGGCTCGCCAGATCGGCTTTCACTGTGGACGAAGTGGAGTCCAGCCCGGGATCATCACATGTGGTTGCCGCAAGCATCCTTCGTCAAATCCGCCGGGCGCCGCTTACTCAAGACGCTGTGTGTTTCGTTGTGAAAGCGAAACTACTTTGTTTGGCCTTCCAAAAGAGGACATAATGTTTCTATAAAGTGGGGCAGTTCCAACTTTTCAAGGACAGTCTGGCGCTTCTGACTCACAGCCTGTAAGTACGTTTTTTATATTTAAAGAATTTGCCACTGATGATTCAAACGTGAGTTTTAGAGTAGTGTAGAGTAGCACTTGTTGTTTGTCCTTTCTCCGATCACAAATGCAGACATGGTTTTATGTTTACGCGGTGCTATACGCAAGACAAAGCATAAAAAGACAGTATAAGTCACTATAATCAGTAATTATGTCCCCACTGGATGCAACAAATGCCTAGTTTGTAATGAGTTTTATTGGTTTGGTCTCGTGGAACATGGAAACACAGTATGGTAAGGGGTGTAACATTTCCGTCACACGCTTGAGGTATTCAGCCAATCACAGCACACCTCGCTTTTCAGAACGATGAGCTTTATAAAAACCGACGCGTTTCAAAAAGGGGGGGCATAGAGGAGAAACAATAATGTACATTATGTGGAAAATAATGTGTTTTTTTAACCTTAAACCGCATAAACGCATTGCATTACACCAAATAATGTTCTTTTTAGCAACATCATATGACCCTTTTAAGCAGCACAACAGTTTTTAACTCAACTGTGATAATTAGTGTTGATAATGTTACTTGAGCAACAAATCAGCATATGATCAGCCGAAAATTATGCTTCAAATTAGGGCTGTCAAAAAAAAATTCGAATATTCGTCGAATTTAAAATAAAAATCCACATTCAAATGCAAAAATGTTGCATTCGAATTTTAGGTGTGCGTTAATGAGGTAGCGCTATCAGTGGCGCACAAGATGCGATGACGATGTAATTGTCGTAGCATTATAATGTTTTTGTTAGCCTATCCAGTTGAAGCCACTAGATGCAGTGCTGCTGCATTGTTCTTTAAAATATTGCGGAAAAAGAGAACATCAACACGGAGAAGATCTTGTTTACATCAAAACTGAAACCAAGCCGTTCTAGACATACATCTATCACCGTTGCACTCGCATCTTGCACAAAGGAGCCGCATGTTTAGAAAGCCATGTAAAATTAATGCAAATTTAACTTTGAAAAAACATAATATCGAGACTTTATAGCAGGTTTTTTTCCCCCCATCCCACTGCATCTCATGTTTTTAAATGAGAAATGTACTCTGTGTGATTGGCTTTCTGCCCTTTGTATTAAACTATGCATACATACATTATGCTGTTTTGTTTATAGTTGTTTAAGCAATTTTATTCCCCCCATCCCACTGCATCTCATGTTTTTAAATGAGAAATGTACTCTGTGTGATTGGCTTTCTGCCCTTTGTATTAAACTATGCATACATACATTATGCTGTTTTGTTTATAGTTGTTTAAGCAACTTAATTATAATTGGTTTATAAACATTATTTTACACATTATGCACTTTTTTCACAGATAGTCATTTTATCTTATGCTTTGAATAAATGTGCATTAGTAATATTTTGCTTGATGCGCCCTCTTGTGGCCTCAGAAGAGAAGCCAAACGCTTTTCTTCACCCTAACTGAAATTATGCATTTTAAATTCAAATATAATTCGAATTTTGATAATATTTAAGTACAAAATTCGAATGTAGTTTTTCAGCCATTTTGACAGCCCTACTTCAAATTGAGAAAAAAAATCGTAATATTTATTATTATAGTTCAATTTAAAATAATTCATATGTAATATTGTAATTGCATTTTTTGTATAATAATATTCTTATATTGCATGTAAACATTTTTATACAGAGCTGAAATAAGTATATTTATAATATGTATTAAATGTTTTCTATAAATAATAAAATGATCAATAATTTGGTTTTAATTTAGGCTTACTTGAGACAAAAACTGTTTTATTAACAATAAAAATACGAAAAAAAGTGATCTTGCTTGAAATACATACAGGATTTTGAAAAACTAATTTTTATGTACCAAGTCTTGTTCAAACATGTCACAAATTTCCATATTTTTCACATTTCAGTGCGGTTTCAAGTAATAAATCATTCAAATAAAGAGCCATTTATATTGTTGGTATTACATTTAACCAATCAAGCAAATATGCAATAAGAATGTTAGTCCAGGTTTGGGGAATGTACAATGTGAAACGTCAGATTATAAATCTCCAGGAACAATTGTACATGGTGACAACATAACTATAAATAAAATAATAGACTTCACAGTATATTCCATGACAATGTGTGTCATTATCAAGTGAACACAAGAGCCTCAGGACATGTGTGTGTGTGTGTGTGTGTGTGTGTGTGAGAGTGAGAGTGAGTGAGTATTTTACCTTTAAATCCCTCCTCATCGAGCACAACCGTGTAATTTTCCGGAGTCTCTGTGAGACTGAAAAATTTGCATCTGTGAGAGAAAGAGAAAAGGCACAGGAGAGAGGGAAAATAAACAGAGGGAGAGAGAAAGAAACAAAATTAAACAGACACATCAGACGTTGCATAATGGACAAAAACAATGGCAGATTGTTGTAAAGAGTGTTCCAGCAGGGACGCACGAGATGGACAGAGAAACCACATCAAACCCCTCTGCAGAAAAAGTGAATGTCATTTTCTCTTTCACTTAAACTTGGAGCCAACATCTGAAATCCATTCATATGGTTCTGCATTCCGGCTCGGTGCGACTGATAAATTTGAGGTGCTCGATGTGCATGTTAAAAAGGGAAAAGTTTGTGTGAATTGGTTTCTTCGCAACAGGGTTTGACCCAAATTCTTTAGGAGCCGGTCCAGGAACCCAGAACAACATGCTCCACTTCATTCAGTCGGATCTATTGTCTAAGAGACACAGAGCTGAGAAGCAGCAGCAAATGAGAATCATGGGAAAAGAACTGTTGAGCAGCTGATTTGTGCAAATGAAGTCCAGACTGGTTTACTTCATTTCATCTACCAGCATCAATACGACTAAAACAAAGATGAGTAATATTGATTAGTTATGTATCATGGATCATGTAGTCTAATTACATTCATTTAGAGGTTAATAATAGAAATACGCTACTGTTAAAAAGATTGGGGTTGGTGAGATTTTATGTTTTTGAATGAAGTCTCTTCTGCTCAGCGAGGCTGCATTTATTTGATCAAAAAAAAAAACTGTAAAATTGTGAAATATTATTATAATTTAAAATAACAGTTTTTAAATATATTGTAAAAATGTAAATTACTTTGGTGATGCAAAGCTGAAATTTCAGCATCATTACTCCAGTCTTCAGTGTCACATGATCCTTCAGAAATCATTCTAATATGCTGATTTGCTAAAATGAATTCATTGATGATTAGAAAAGTTGAAAAGAACAGCATTTATTTGAAATAGAAATATTTTGTAACATTATACATGTTTTTACTGTCATTTTTGATCAGTTTAATGCATCCATGCTGAATAAAAGTATTCTTTCCATAAATGAATAAATAAATAAATCTTACTGATCCCAAATTTGGAATAGTAGTGTATATTTGCAAATACATTAACACTCAAGAACGTAGTAATGCAACAGGTGAATGATTTTTACTTAAACTAAAAACATCTAATAGTTAGGCTAATGATAATTATTATTATTGTCAAATGCTATATTACTGCTATCATGTTTTCCAAAAGAGTTATGACTTTTATAACTCTAGGAAAACTGAGAAATTGGAAAATTGGAGAAAAAGGAGAAATTGATATGTTTGTGCAACAATTTAAAGAACAATGAGGAAGTAGGAAGGTTGTTTGGTAGATAGTCTCTCGATTGTGTGGAAAATTTTTGGAACTTAAATGTAAAACGTTTTGAGTTCAACAACTTATTAGGGCTGTCAAATCAGTTAATCGCAATTAAATCGCATCCAACATAAAAGTTTGTCTATAATATATGTGTGTGTACATATAAATACACACAAACATGTAAATATTAAAAAATTATTATATATATATACACATTACACACACTACCTTTCAAAAGTTTGGGATCAGTAAGATTTTTTATATTTTTTACCGTAGGTTCTTGTGCTCATCAAGGCTATATTTATTGGATCAAAAATACAGAAAAAAACCCTGTTATTTTGTGAAATATTATTGCAATTTAAAATAACAGTTTCTATTTGAATATACTTTCAAATATAATTTATTCCTGTGATCAAAGCTGAATTTTCAGCATCATTACTCCAGTCTTCAGTGTCACATGATCCTCCGGAGATCATTCTAATATGCTGATTTATTATCAATGTTGGAAACAGTCATGCTGCTTCATGTTTTTTGGAACCTGTGATACTTTTATGAATATAAAAAAACCCAGCATTTATTCAAAATGAAAATATTTTGTTACAATATACATTACCGTTAGTCAGTAAATTGTAATGAATACTTTTATTCGGCAAGGATGTGTTAAATGGATAAAAAGTGATAGTAAACACTCATATTGTTAGAAAAGATTTTAATTTTAAATAAATGCTGTTCTTTTTAACTTTTTATTCATAAAAGAATCCAGAAAAAACAGTTTCCAAAAAAAACAAAAAAAAAACATGAAGCAGCACGCCACAACAGTTTCAACACTGATAATAAATCAGCATATTAGAATGATTTCTGAAATAAATACAGCCTTGATGAGCACAAGAGACTCCACTAAAAAAACATTAAAACATCTTACTGATCCCAAAGTTTTGAACAGCAGTGTGTGTGTGTGGGTGTATATAATATACAGTGCCTTGCTTATACCCCTTCATTTTTTTTCATGTTGCTGCCTTATGTTAAACTGCTTTAAATTACTTTTTTTCCTCACATCAATCTACACTCCATATGCCATACTGACAAAGCAAAAACAGAATTGTCACAACTTTGTAAATTTATTAAAAATAAAAAAAACTGAAATAAGTACAATGCATAAGTAAATATTTAGCTGAAGCACCTTTACAGTCTCAAGTCTTTTTTGTTTAATGCAACAAGCTTTGATCATCATCATTTGGCAATTATCTGCCATTCCTCACCTCACCTCTTCACCTCTCAAGCTCTGTCAGTTTGGATGGGGGCAGATGCACATTTTCAAGTTTCTCCAGAATTATTTGATTGGGTTCAAGCTCAGGCTGTGGATGGGCCACTCAAGGACATTCACAGAGTTGTCTATAAGCCACTCTTGCTGTGTGCTTCGGGTCATTGTCCTGTTGGAAGGTGAACCTTCTGCCCAGTCTGAGGTTCTGAATGCTCTGGACTGAGTTTTCATTAAGGCCATCTCAATATTTTGGTGCATTGAGCTTATCTTCTACTCTGGCGAGTCCCTTGGTCCCTGCCGCTGAAAAACAGACCCACAGCATGAGGCTGCTACACACTTTACTTTTGGGGTGGTACTCTTCAGGTGATGAGCAGTGCCTGGTTTCCTTCCAACATGATGCTTGGAATTGAGGTTCATCAGACCAGAGACTCTTGTTTCTCAGAGTGTGAGTCCTTTAGGTGTTTTTATGCAAAATCCAAGTGTGTTTTCATGTGTCTTCACTGAGGAGAAGATTGAGTCTGGCCACTCCGACATAAAGCCCAGATCGGTGGAGTGTTGCAGTGATATTTATCCTTCTCTAGATTTCTCCCATCTGCATATATGATCATGGAGCTTAACTAGAGTGACCATCATGGTCTTGGTCACCACTCTAACCAAGACCCTTCTCCATCGTTTGCTCAGTTTGGCCAGCTCTAGGAAGGGTCCTGGTTGTTTCAAACTTCATCCATTAAGGGTAACAGAGACTACATGCTTCTGTGAACCTTCAATGCAGCAGATTTTTTTTTTCTGAAATCTTCCCCAGATGTGTGGCTTGACACAAACCTGTTTCTGAGCTCTACAGGCAGTTCTTTTGACCTCAGGGCTTGGTTTTTGCTCTGGTATGCATTATCAGCTGTTAGACCTTTTATTAAGACGTGCGTACCTTTCCAAATCATACCCATTCAATTGAATTTGCCCCAGGTTAACTTCAGTCGAAGTGTAGTAACATCTACAAGCAATATGAATGCTCCTGAGCTACATTTCAACTGTCCCAGATAAGGAATCATTTTAGTTTTTTATTTTTAATATTTGCAAAGATGTTAAAAACCTTTTTTTGCTTGACAATTATGGTGTATGGAGTGTATATTGTTGAGGAAAAAAAACTAATTTAAAGCAGTTTAACATAAGGCAGCAATAAAACAAAATGTGAAAAAAATGAAGGGGTACATTCGCAAGGCACTGTATATACACACACGCGCACGTAAATATTTCTTAAATATACATACATGTGTGTATTTATATAAATATAAACAGTACACACATCACATGAACAAACTTTTTTTTGATGCTATTAATCAGTTTGACAACCCTTTTTCTTATACAGTGTAACTTGACAAAGATTTAAGGATTTAAGGATTCACGCATCAAATCCTTTGTGCAACACCCTTGTTAAAAAAGCTAAATTGAAAAATGGCTCGGATCGGGCCATTACATTTTGGTTTTTACTGATTTGCAATAGAAAGCACAAAAAAAAAAAAAAAAAAAAAAACCCCCAAA